ATCCTTTAGATATGCAACAAATGCGATGCCCTTAGTCTTACCTTACCTGTGGAGGTAAAGGTCAGCTATGTTCAAACAGTTTTGCGAGTGGTCAACCTGCACTTTGTATGCTGGAAGACAATAATTTTTTTGGTCTGGTGAGCCCTTTCATGTGCTATCTTCAGACATCAGAGAAGAAAGGGGAGCTGGGGGAGGTGGAGCCTCCCATTGAGTCCTCAAGTGAACCTACCGATTCCTCAAACAGCAGAAGCTGCGGTGCAAGCCAAGAGGAACCTCCCTTCATTAAACTCAGCCAGGAGGAGTACGGAGAACACCACTCATCCATCATGCACTGCAGGTCTGTCTGTCACAATTCACCCACTTTAAGGATAAAAACAAAAACTCAGCCTTAATCAGTTTTTTTTTTCTTTCTGTTGCCCTTCGCTTGTTTTCAAGGGTTGACTGTTCTGGTCGCCGTGTCGCTAGCTTGGATGTTGACGGAGTCATCAAGGTAAACCTGCATTTCATAGTCTTCAAGCTATGGTATTCTAACGGCATATACTGACAGGAAAACTCATGAAAGACTTCTTCCTCTGCCCCTCCTACTCCGTCAGGTGTGGTCGTTCAACCCCATCATGCAGACCAAAGCCACCATCATGTCCAAATCTCCTCTAATGTCTCTGGAGTGGGCCACCAAACCAGACCGACTGGTAGCAGTGTTTACTTTCAGATACATTGATTTTATAAATATTCTGATAAGGTAACATTTTACCATGCACTAGGTCACCAATGATCCACCTAACGCTACGGTTAGGATTTCGTTACTTGTTTTCAGACAGTTGTCTCTAGTGCAATGCATACAGAACAATTGCACTGCCAAACTTAATTTGCAAGACTTAATTTGAAAGGTAAAATCTCTTAGTTCCTTGATATTTGCCTATTTAGCACTAGTCAAAACAAAAACCCAACCCTAAGCCTAAACCCCAAGGTTACTTGTGACCTAGTTGATACACCAAACACATCTGTCCAACAGTAAAATGTATGTTTGCATGTGTGTGTGATCAGTTGTTATTAGGCAGCGGCGTTGGCACAGTACGGTTGTACGATACGGAAGCCAAGAAGAATCTCTATGAGATGAACATCGACGAGGCTCATCCACGGTAAACCTGCACCCTGGAGCTCCTCACTAACATAATTAGGACCAATTTCTGCCTCTTTGTTGGCTTTGTATTGCATGAAAGTGCCTCCTTGCTGAGACAAAAAAGTGTCTAAAAGCTGCAGCTCAGGAACTCAGAAGTTTTTATGGAGCGCTAAACTGAAAATCTGATCCAAATGTGGTTATGTTTCAGTATCAGTAATGTTGTTATGTGCCAAAATTAATGTCAACCCATCCGATAGTGATGGAGCTAAAATGGGCGGTGCTCTTTTATTTTATTGCATTATAATTTGACCAAATTGAATGGAACTACGTCCATAAACTAGATTTACTGTGTCTTCAACAGTCGAGGTCATCTCCATATGAGAATGTATTTTTCTGCCTTTCAGTATCTTGTCTTTAGCCTGCAGCCCCAGCGGTTCATCATTCGTCTGTTCAGCTGCAGCTCACAGTCGATCTGGAAGTGGCGAGTCTGCTCCTCGACTTCCCATAACGGTGTCTGGTCAGCTGCTGCTATGGGACACCAAGACTGTCAAACAGCAGGTGGTTAACTGATCATTTAGCTAATATGTCTGCACATCAGTCCAAGACCAGGAACAGGAACCACTGGGTTTAAAGAATGTGTATTTAAAACCCCAGCTGTAGCAGAAAACTGGAGCAATATAAACTCCAACTGCACAGGCTGAGTCAAGGCGTCCAGTTCAGGTAGCTGACGTGAAGCCTCAGGGAGCTAGCAGCTCAGAGGGCAACCATGTGTCAATCAAAGTGGCCACACCCTTAATTTTAAGCTGCAATGGGGGTCAAAATGGTTTATGTATAAACACATTCA